GGTAGCGAGAGTAAAAGGGCCGGGAAAAAGGAAAGCAAAGGGGCAAGGAAAAAAACTTGGAACGGGCAATGGCAAAAAAAGTCCAAATTTTGGCTTACGCGCGTGCGCCAAACTAAAATGTTGTACAGTTTAGTACCTAATCTTGGGGAAATCTATCTTGTTGGTATAATATAGCTGTCTCAGCAAAACTAAGGTCAATTTAGCGTCATGGCAGCCAAAAAACGTATTTAATAGTTAAAAACGGCATTTTTTGTGAACGAGTATAATGATGCCCACGCTTGGACTCTAAGGAACTTTAAATGCTTCAACGTAAAAGGCATCTTTACGGGGGCTTCACGGTAGGTTTGCGGAGCATTTTGGCGGTGTTCAAAATTTAACTCTACGTGCCTTTTTAGTACCGTTCTAATGCTCTTTCCAACTTTGCCATTTCGTGCCGTGAAAGTCCCATTTTGTAAATAACTTGGAATTTACAGCGTTTGAACAGTCCACGTTAGTCTAACCGGTTACACGAGGGTTCCATAAATAACACCCATTTTTTTAGTACCTACAATTCAAATAATGTAAACTGCTATTCATGGAGGTCGTTTCTAAGAATTTACTTAAAATTAAGATATCACTTAAAACTGTGGCGACATAATTTAGATTTGAAATCGGTCAGTGAAGATGCTTGTCTAAGGACTATAGGTAAGTTGTTCCAAGACTGAGCTCCGCGGTACGAAACTTGAAATTCTCTTAGAAAATCAGTTCGGGGTTGAACTAATTTGTTTTCAGCGTTCCTTAAACGATAATCACTTACATTATCACAATATACGAATCTTGATCTCAGATGCCATGTGATATTTTATACATTAGGATAGACTTCTGTTCCAATCTTTGATAGTAGAGTCTTCGCCACCCCAGTGCCCGAAACAAATCATCCAAATTACTATCATAGCTCGCAGACATTAGGGTGCGAGCTGCGCGAATTTGAAGCCTTCGGAGTTTATCAGAAGGGCCCTTGTTACAGTTTCCCCGCACTACATTCCAATAATCAAAATGTGGTCGAGCGAGATATTAAATATTAAATGGAGTGAGATGCCGAATTCGTTTAATTGCACCAATGGCACCAGCTACCTTCTTAGAGATATTTTCAATATGGCACTCCCAGTTTATATTTTGATCGACATAGACTCCAAGGAGGTTACTTGCTCTACTGCGTTCTCGTTTATAGTAACAGAATAGAGGGACTTTCCATAAATTGTGATAGCTTCTGCCTTGATGCAATAAGAAGCTTGTTAGCAGATTGCAAGCCATTCGTACACAATACTCAGGTCGTGATTAAGGCATTACAGTGCGTTTACTGAAACCGGGGCCACCCAGACAAAGAAAACCAATCAGATGGCCGAACTGAAACAATAGATTCCAACATTTTCAAATCCAGCCAATCAAATGTCCCACTTTCAATTCCAGCCAATCAAATGTCCGGTACAAGAAAATAAAATCTCAACTTGTTCGTTGTGATGCTTACGCAATTAAGGTGTTGCATAATGTATTGCCAAGCTCAAACCATTGGTAGTTTCGCGTGCTTGCGGGTCACCAAGAATTATATGCCACACTTTATATGGGGTCGTTGGTTGGTTTATAAAATACGTGGAAATAAAAGCTGCGTAAGAGTGTGACTTGTAAATATATATCGCCAACAGAGTGTGTTGTGTGAATATTGTCGCGGCTGTTTAAAAGAAACCCCTCAAATGGTCTCTGAGCAGTTTCGAATGAAGGCAGGTTCGAAATGTACGAATTGAAAAGGGATTGTTTTCAATGTAACTGAAAGGAGCTGACAGCAAACTTCAAGCAGGAGAATTGAAAAGTTAACTTGATACAAAAATGAATTCTTTGTTCAAAATATCTTCGATTTTTCCACCCAGGGGAAGTTCCTATGCATCCGTCTTTTGTTTTTACTTGAGTGACTTTACATGCTGAGGCTTCGATAGTACAATGCGGGAAAAACAAGCCGTTTGAATTTTCATGAAGATATTATTTCAATACACTGATAGCCCAGAAAGGGAGCTCAAACTCCGAAATGTAGAGCTCCTGAGACAGTGAACGCGATAGTTTTTTCGAGAACTACATGGGGGCAACCGAAAGGTGTGTGAAAATAGAAACACGCACAGACAGCAGGATATGTATATGTATATCAAAACCAGAAGAGGTCCCAAAATTGTTCCCTGGGGAACACCACATCTTAGGCATTTCGGAGTTGACTTAAAAGAATTAATATGGTGGCAAAAACGACATGAAAATCTGGTAAGTACCTCACTTTGACACAGTGTGTCCTCCCCTTTGAAAAATCCTGGCTACGCCCCTAAATAGGTTTTATTATTATTATTATTATTATTATTATTATTATTATTATTATTATTATTATTATTATTATTATTGTTTCAGTATTTTACTGAAAATAATTTCGGGATTTTGAAAATCTGGCCGCTTAATAAGGGGAGGCTGCTAATAGGTTGCTGCTTAATAGAGGTTCGATTATACTACATAACTACTACTACCAGCAGAATCCTTCATGTTTTCTCTTTTTCATGCTAATTAAGGCATTCGTTATTTTGAAAACTCCACCATCGTTTTCATACGTGATTAGAGACCTTGTGCATATACAACGGCGACGGCGGGGACGACGCCTAGTAGAAAATGTGTTTTTATTTTACTTTGGAATTTCGCATGTATTTAGATCTATTCAGTGTGTTTCTCGATATTCAAACTTGCCCATCGAATATGCTACGCATGCGTTCATTTCCAAGTAGAAATACGAAAAATTAGCTGTTGTGTCTCGCGTTCTCCAGACAACGCAAAAGCTGGTCATTTTAATTTCACGTTTCTGTTTTGCAGAGGACGGCAAAGAACTGTACCAAGAATTATAACGCATGTGTAGAGCCATTGTTCTATTCATTAAAACTTTTGTTTGGTGACGTTCTCGTTGCCGTTACCGTCGTTTTTGCGTAAGGTCCCTATTCTCTGTTTTCCAATTGCCCATAATTCACTCTCTTTGCCCCCCAAATTCTGCATAAACTATTGTTGTGAAATGCTCTTGGGAATATGCAGACCTCCCAAGAGTATTTTATTCATTGGGGGGCAAACAGAGTGAATTATGGGCAATTGGAAAGTAGAGAATATATAAGTTTGAAGACGCCGCCAATCATAAACACATTATGAAATAAATAGTATAAAGTTAGTTTGAAGCTAAATTCTAAGCTCCTACAGCTTGAGCTCTCATTGGGTATTCTTCTCTCCGTCAGCTTAACTCGGTAACGTCACCAGTACGATGAAGTATGACTCAATTAATCCAAAGAGCTATGGAACCAAATACGGTGAGGTAAAAAACAAAACACAAGTGTAACAATAGGTTAACTTTCAGGAGGGTAGGGGGTTGCATGGGGGACGTATGCAGATTCAGGTGGAAAATGCCGATTTATGCTAATCCTCATTCAAGTTCTTGTTATCTGGTCTCTTGAGACACCTGAGATCTGCGGGCTTAGGGACTAAGACTCGCGACCGAAAAGACTCCTTGTTCTTAAAGAAGTCCATAGTTCAATTTTTTATTATTCTTTCGTTTAGTCAGTCGCTCAGTCGCTCAGTCGCTCAGTCGCTCAGTCGCTCAGTCAACCAACCAATCAATCATCAATCAATCAATCAATCAAGTAGTAAGTCAGTCAGTCAGTCAGTCAGTCAGCGAGTCAGTCAATCAGCCAGTCATTCAGTCAGTCAGTCAGTTATTCATTCAGTCATCAGTCAGTCAGTCAGTCAGTCAGTCAGTAAGTCGGTCAGTCATTCAATCAGTCAGTCAATCAATCAATCAATCAATCAATCAGTCAGTCAATTAATCAATCAATCAATCAGTCAATCAATCAATCAATCAATCAATCAGTCAATCAATCAATTAATTAAGTAGGTAAAAAAGCAAGCAACCATTCCAAAAAAAAAAAATCAGGGGAGCGGCAGTCATTTGGCTATCGGTCAAATGACCAGTTGAAAGTCGCTCGATACTGCTTGGAGTGTCGCGTCGAATTGTTCGAGTTACGAGTAATGAAAACATAGAAACAAAGAACTTATGTACCTATGTATTTTTTCTCTGTGTTAATTGTCTCTACTTTTTGTTGATGTTATTATGTATGCTGCGTCTCGTTTCGTTCAAAATGTGCAGTATAGTGTCTTGAAACTTAAAACTCGAAACTACATACTCCCGATTCCCGACTCTCGACTCCCGACTCCTGACTCCCGACTCCCGGTTTTCTTTTTAAGATGAAATATCCCAATAAGCGTCTATATAATGTAGTAATGTAGTAATGTAATATTTTTTTATTTACAGTCATTATTGTTTGTCGTTTGTATACTAACCGTGAGGAACACCGACTTGCTGATCATTGCCAATCCCCCCACAGACAATCCGATGGGATCTCCTCGCAGATGAGCAAGAAAGAGCATCAACTACACAAAATAAAAAGCATTACGAGACCATTAACATTATAGCCTATTTTACTTCACTGCTTGGTAAACTGGGTCATAGAATATTTTAATTATTAATTGATCAACTGATTCGAAGCGAGAGAAAGTGATTTGGGTTCTAATCCTGATCCCGTCTTCATATGTGGGGTGGGTTTGGTATTGGTTCCAATCCTTGCTCCCAAGGTTTTTATATATTACAATTTTATTTAAATGAGTTGGCCTGAGAAGATTGGTAAGATGGACTCATCAAGAATCTACGAGAGGCTAACGATGTTATCGGGCACACTATTGGAAAAAATTGATGCACCATTTTTCTTTATTTCCTTTTGTTTTCGCAAAGTTACATATAAAATGTTTAGCAATTACTTTTGCATTTGCCCCATATTGTTAACGCTATTATTTTGGGGATTGTTTGTAATGGTATGGAACTCGTTTCGGCTCGACCCCCGACGACACTAAAGCCCCCTTTTTATCCTGTTTCCAGCACATACCTCAGTATTTTCTTGTATGTTTTCGACAGAAACCTTAGATTTCTGTAAGGTTTCATAGAAACTGTGAGCCTGCAAGTAAAATGTATGGGAAATAAGCCGACTTTAAAATATAATGCGACATATGTTGTCTTACAACACTTTAAGACTTATAATACGAATAAGGAACGCTTTGTGTGCAGCTGGACTGGAGTGATTTACGAGTTGATAATCTGCATTACTATGGCGACGTGATAAGGGGTAAAACATACTCCATTTTTAACGAGTGATAGCATATAGCTAGAGGAAGTTATAGGCGTGATTAGATTTATGGAAATTTGTGGTTGATCGGTTGGTCGTCTGTCAACCACCGCTGTTAATAGAGTCTATCAGAGTGTGATTAACGTGATAGCATAATTAGAGGGAGCTATAGGAGTGACTAGATAATGCCAATGATCAGGCGGCGGTCGGTCGCTCTTGTTCTAATTGAACGATTGTTCTAAAATTTATGCTGTTTCACACAACATACAACTCCTCAGAAGATGTTTGACCACCCTTGTCACATGCATGATATGAGCATGTCTGTTTGAAGAGCTGATTAGTTGATAAGGTTGAAATAGGCTATAATATAAACTACAGCTTGGTGCGTCAGTTTCACAGCACAAAAAAAATGATCCCTAGAGCTGTACCGAGTATTCATTTTCGTCCCACACGTTTTCTGAGTAAACATTTTCGGTGCTGTAAACGGTTTCTTTTTCCTGCCGAATGTGTTGATTTTACTACGGTAATGGCATATTTACATTTTGATCTCTTTTTCTCGACAATCATGATATTTATACAAAACGGTTCTTTTCTTTAAAATTTGCACTGCGTCAAATTTTCCCAGGCCGGCACCAATAAAAAACCAAAATAATGAAGAAATTGCACTTAAAAAGTGAAACAATATAAAGGGAATTCATAAGTGTTCTGTTCCGCGAGAATATAAAATCAAAATTTGCAACAAGAAATAGTAGAAATGTAAAGTAAATGGATGCAATTAATTTAAATATGCTGAAAATTAAATCACCTTCACTCTATTTAATCGCATCGTGGATGTACTGAACCAAATGAAAATAAATAAATTAAAGAAAAAGAATAATGTTTTCTGAAGGCTTTGCCCTATACTAAAATGCCTCCTATATCAAAGATTTGTAGTTTCGTTTTTTCATAAAATTCCTAACTCTTAATGTACGTACCTATACCTTGAAGTGGATAAAAAAACATTAATGTGCTTAGTTTTAAAATATTTAAAATTTCTAGTACAGTGCAAAAATGAAGAAGTCGACTGGAAAATGACTATTGAAAGGACAGCTTCGATGCAAGTTAAATCCTAGATATATTATTAAAGAAGACAAAATATGTTTTTTATTAAGACATTTAAGACTTACCTTCTCGTTAACGCGGCTTCCAAACATGAAAACAACCCCCAGCAAAGTCGCTATACACAAACTCCAGTAGAGGTAGCTGATAATAACGATGGTGTCTTTTTGGCTGCTTGCCGACTTGATGAGTTGATGGAAGTTGATACACAAAAGTGGTATGTCCAGTGAAACGATCACAAAGAGGAGCGGCGAGAACACAGCATTAGCCAGCTCTACCATCTCACAAAGCTTCAGGTGTTCCCGCCGCAGGTGTGCTATGGTGAAAGAGTGGAAGGATTCCTTGGACATTTTCTTTTGCAGAGTTTCGAACGTCTTTTCCAGGAGCATGCAGGTGATGCAGAAGATCAAGGCTGGAAGAATCCAAGCGAAGGAGTCGAAAGTCCCAAAGACCACTTCTATCACTCGCACTGCCAAGTACTTATCTGAGTGTGGATACCATGGTGGGAAAATAGAGATTATACCTCTGTAGCAGACACTGAAATAGGTGACGACAACGGTATTGATCAGAACAGAAAGGCAACCCAAAGCTAAACCTTTCACAGCTTTTTCCTTCATCCCTTCTAGTTCGGGTGTGTTCGTTCCAAAACTGGAAAGAAATCGAGCAAATCTCGATGGTCGCCTGTTTGGCGCTAATGGCAAAACGACCAAGCAAACGGTGGTGCTACTAGCACATTGGGCATGCCAAATGGTGGTAACCAATAAGAAGAAAAACTCCGGCGTTGTCGAGAAACCTATGTGAAAATGACTTACAACACTCAATACCACGAGTAGCCATTGGCCCAGAACGACGAGTGTGCTGAAGAATCGCGAAATGTAGCATATTCTCAGACGACCTATCTCACTCAGTGCAGTTTCTCCGAAGAACTGCCCCGTCAATTTCATAGCGATCAAAATTGGAGTGAAGATCGCTGAGAGCTGACTTTGACGATTTGTGTTCATTTCGTTTTCTCTCGGATATTCTTCGGTTGAACCAGTATTATCAATGTCATTTATAGGCCTTTGGCTAATTTCTAGTGCATACACTGCTTGTGATAGCATGGCGTTTTCTGAGTTTAAAATGAAGGTTTCTTGTCGAGTTTCGAAAACGTCGAACAATGATTGACGAATCTATTTTCAATATTAAAATTCCAAACAGGTGTTACTCGCAAACGTAATTAGTGAACAGAGAAGGAGGGGTTAATAGTGTTTTCTTATCATATGGAAATCCTTTGTAATGTTTACTTATTACTGTTGAATATCACTACCTTTTGACATAAAACTTGAACCAGCTCGATTTATTTAGAAATTTCTTCAAACTGAAAGGTGGCTGTCAAAAGACAGTACTGATTGGCTAACAAATTAACTTGCATAACAACCCAAGGAAATATCCGTGTAAAGTTGATAATTATGGCAGCCGCTGCGATCTTCTCTCTGGGAATTACAATTTAGCCAAAGTGTCTCTAACAAGATATTGTTTTTAAACTTTTTTCAATTCTCTCTCTTTTATAAACTCCCTGGGCTGAAAATTTTTGGTCACGGAATTGTCTCCCTGTGCAGTGTTTGAAGTTACATGCAAAGAAATATAAAAGCAAGAAAGAAAACCTTGTACATGTCGAGAAGGTTTATTTTATTTTCTTGTTTTTAAAAATGGAAACTTGGAACATAAAGCTTCATTTGGTACGTGACATGAATTTAAATCATTTACTACTGTCCCATGAGGATTAATCAACACCTTTTGCCACCCGTTTACATTATTTCTTATTGCAGTGTGTAATGTCATAATGGACTACAAAAAATGAGATTTGAATAAGTGTATTTGTTGGAAAATAATGTTCACATATAATTGTTTTCGCGTCCGTTCGATTAATATTTACAAGGGGTAATTTTACTGTGTGTAAATCGGATGAAGAAAAGCATTTTGCTGATAGTTACTCTTCTTCGTTAGCTTTAAATTATTACAGTGAGCACGGAGCCTTACCTAATTTTGCACTTTGTGTATTATGTTGCATTGCAAACAAAAGGATGAAAAGAGAAAAAAACAAACAAACAAACAAACAAACAAAGCGTACGTTGTTGTTTGATAGTTTGAATTATTTATACATTCGAGTCAAACTATAGTGCTGCACTCCTTTATATTCGGTCTCTTTTTAGTTTCAGATATGTTGCCTGGATGCTTCAAGGGACACGGTCACCACTTTTAGCAGGATTTTGGAAATCTCAAAAACATATATCGATCCTTGGAAGCTGAACAACAATGCCTTTATTTTGTAGAGCAGTACCCGACAAATGATTAAAACCCATTAGGAAGTGATGATGGCTAAAGCCCCGGCCAAACGATAGCAACATGTCAACGCAACATATCGCAACATTGTTGGGCGCAACATGTTGCACACGTTTGGCCACCCTGTTGCGAAGTGTTGCGACATGTTGTGTCTTGTTGGCTCAAGTTTGAAAATGGTCAAATTTGAGCCAACAACACCCAACATGTCGCAACACGTCGCAACACACCACAACAGGGTGGTCAAACGCGCGCAA